AAATTTTTTTTCCAATTTGCATTTCCCATTTGTAAAAACCACTGAATTTTCAAAATAGTCCAAAAATAATATTTTTGTGAAAGTGTGCGTGTGAACCCAATGAGCCTCAAAAATTATCAACTTAATAACTTGTCTACATTAAGCACTAGAGAGAAAATAAAAGTACAAATATCTCACATATATGAATACAATTATTTGATCTTGATATTTGCCTATATTTTGATGAAGCTTTACTTTTGTATTGTACTCTTGAAAGCTTTGCTCCATAATAATGCCTCCACCTCATTGGATATCATCGTTGTAGCTCTTTGTTCCATCCAATCTGTCAACATTGGCACTAATATGCTTGAAAAATTATAATTTACACAATGTAGCTCAACAAGCAATTAGCACCAATAATGGTATTTGTAAATCATCATCAAAACACGAGGGCTAACATGAAAGACTAACTAAAGCTCAGAAGCTAGAGCTTATCCATACAGATGTTTGGGGTCCAGCTAGCGTGTCTTCTCTTGACAGTACTATGTCACCTTTATCGACGATCACTCGAGAAATGCATGGGTATACTTCATGAAGTACAAGTCAGAGGTGTTCAGGATCTTCATGAAGTGGAAAGCCATGGTAGAGAACAAGACCGATCTGAAAGTGAAGTGTTTGATATCGGATAATGGTGCAAAATACGAACTGGAGGAGTTCAAGAAGTTTTGTGGCCTGAACGGGATTCGTTTAGAGAGGACTACTCCAGGGGCACCATAACAGAATGACGTTGTAGAGAGGATAAACATGACATTGACAAAGCGTGTGAGGAGCATGTGTTTATATGCAGGTCTACCTAAGATGTTTTGGGCGGACGCGGTGCATACGATAACTTATCTGATTAATCATGAGTCTTTAGTTCCATTAGATTTTAGGATTTCAGAAGAGGTTTGGAGTGACAAGAATGTTAATCTCTCACATTTACGAGTATTTGGTTGTGTGACATATGTTCATATCAGTGACCATGTCAAGGACAAGCTAGAAGCTAAGTCACAGAAGTGTACATTCATGAATACGACATTGATGAGTTCGGATATCGTCTTTAAGATGAGAAGATGAAAATCATCAGGAGAAAATATGTGATATTCAATGAAGAGGTGATGTACAAGGACAGGGATAATGCCAAAGATAGCTAAAGCAGTGGGAGCAGCACTAGAATACAGGTGGATCCGAGTACATGGATTTGGAGGAACTTCCAAATGGGGGAGACAATATCATTTCTGACCGAAGAACGGAGGAGACTTCAGGTGCAGAGACTACTACCCAGGGCGTGGAGCTTAAGTGGTCATCCATGGTACCCAAACCCAATCCCCGATATATTTCATCACTTGATTACTTACTTCTGACAGATAGCGAAGAACCGGAGTGTTATGAGAAGGCTATGTAATTTAGTGAATCTCAACAGTGGGAGCAGGCGATGCAAGAAGAGATGGATTCTCCATACTTGAACGAGACATGGGAGTTAGCCCAGCTACTTGTACAGAAGAAAGCCTTACATAACAAGTGGGTCTACCGAGTCAAGCAGGAGAGTAATGGAAGCAAGAGGTACAATGCTAGATTAGTTGTGAAAGGGTTCCAACAGCGAGAAGGAGTAGATTATACAGAGATATTTTTCCCTGTCGTGAAGCTTACAACTATCAGAATGGTATTGAGCTTAGTAGCTACTGAAAATCTCTACCTTGAGCAATTGGATGTGAAGACTGACTTTCTTCATGGTGACTTAGATAAAGAGATCTACATGAAGCAACCTATTAGCTTTATAGAAGAAAAGAAAGAGATTGTGTGTAGGCTCAAGAAGAGCTTGTACAGTTTGAAACAGGCTCCGAGACAGTGGTACAAGAATTTTGATCACTTCATACAGAGCAATGGCTATGAAAGATGCAATTTAGATAATTGTTGCTACTTTAAGAGGTTCAAGTCCAGCTATATCGTGTTATTATTGTATGTTGATGATATGTTAGTTGTAGGACCGTGTTTAGAAGAGATAAACAAATTGAAGAAGCAGTTGGCGAAAGAGTTGGCTATGAATGATTTGGGTGTAGCGAAGAAAATTTTTAGGATGTGAATCAGTCAAGATGAATCTGAAGGGACGTTGAAGTTGAGTCAGGTTGAATACATCAAGAAGGTACTTCAGAGATTCAATATGGAGAATGTCAAGCCCGTCGGCACGCCCCTTGGAAGTCAATTCAAGTTATCTAAGGAGAAATCGCCCAAGACAGATGTAGAGAAGGAGCATATGAGCATAGTTTCATATTCATCAGCCACTGATAGTCTTATGTACGTAATGGTTTGCACGAGGCCGGATATCGCCCATACAGTGGGAGTTGTGAGCAGGTTTGCAAGCAATCTAGGAAAGCAGCATTAGGAGGCCGTGAAGTGGATATTATGATACTTGAGAGGGACTACAGGTATGCCATTATGTTTCAGGAGGAAAAAATTAGTACTGCAGGGATACATGGATGCATATTTCGTCGGTGATCATGATACGAGATGAAGTACCACGGGGTATGTTTATACCTTAGCGTCGACAACAGTGAGCTGGGTCTCACGTTTGCATAAAATAGTAATATTGCCCATGACTGAGGCAGAGTATGTCGCAGTGACTGAAGCCAGTAAGGAGATTATTTGGTTGACCGGGTGCCTGGAAGAGCTGGGTTTGAAGCAGGAGAATGACGTTCTTTATTGTGATAACTAGAGTGCTATACACCTTGCCAAGAATCCAGTATATCATGCCAAAACGAAGTACATCGACGTACGTTACCACTTCATACGCTCGCTGATAGAGGATGAGAAGTTACAGTTGAAGAATATTTTGGGAAGCTAAAATCTTGCGGACATGTTGACGAAAGCAGTGACCATCGACAAACTGGAGTTGTGCGAAACTTCAGTTGGCCTTCACGCATAGGAGACTAAGGCAGAGCCACACTAAGAGAATAGGTAGGATCGCCAAGATGATATTGATTGAAGAATGGAATTTTTCGGGTAGGAGAAGATGCTTGCGAAGATGGCGGGAGTTCGGGAGAGCTCGTTGATGGCGGTTTGGTCTCCAAGTGGGAGATTGTTGGTTTCGAGAGTGTAGACCCAAACCTGGATCAAAATCAACAATTCTGAAAAACTCATCATCAGTCGACTGGCACATATGGATTGGTCGACTGAATCGACTACAGAAAATTGAGCAGAAAATCGCGCTCTGGTCGGTCGACCGAAGCAATGGCCCAGGTCGACCGAAAATGTGCACGAGAAACCCTGTAGAAAATAGGATTCTGGCCGGTCGATCGAAGCAATGCTATCGGTCAACCGATGGTGATCAACCAGTCGACCAATGAGATGATATCGGTCAACCGAAGTCGGGTCAGGCGGTTTCCTGGTTCGGGTTGGAATCTGTTTTTGGGCTGTGTATATATATGTTTCCTAAAATGTTTTTAGGATTATGTGAGGACGTTTTTGAGAGGGTTTTGACGGCACTTTGAGATCAGAGACCTTAGAGAGAGAGAGACCTATTGCGCGCATTGTAATCTTCTTCAATTAATCAAAGAATTTCTGGTGTGGCTCCCAAGGACGTAGGCACGTTTGCCGAACCTCGTTAAATCTGGTGTTTTCTTCTTTTGCTCGTTCTTTCCTGCAAGTTTTCTTTTATTTGCTATGATTTCTTGCTTGCCTACTCTCGATACAAGATCTGGAAGGGCACGGGTTGTCGTGTGTTCAACCCAACATATGCATGCAGTACAAAAATTGTTATGTGGTCATGAAGGTGTACTTGATAATTCGAGAGATGTCCAAGTCAAGGAAACCTTCAAGGATTCAACTGAAAAAGTGTATGTGTAGGTATAACTATAGTAATTTCAGTTTTTATATAAGAAAACAAAGAGTACTAACAGCAGTTGGTATATTTATAATGCATAAAAGTATAGATAAATGCAATTATCTGATACCTGTAAAGAACACTAGCAACATTTTGGCTTGCATGTCTCTAAAGTGTGCTAGCTGAAGGGGACCACATTCCAATTTCTCATAATTAATTGTCTCAAATTCTTCTCTCATTGGCTTCAACTTGCCAAATCTACCGTAATCTAATCTAATATAACTAATGCTATTCTTTATTTTAAGGAATATGACAGGGAAATGACTATATAACTATTATGCTTTACTAAAATATTCTTCAATTGCTGTGTCTTTAAGATTGTGTATTTACATATTGATGGAGACCTAATAATTGATTTGTGTAAATTTGTTGTTTTATTAATTGGTCAGTTTTGATCTAGTTTCATCATTAGAATATATTTTTTATGTGTGTTTTTTTAATTATCTAAACACTTTCCTAAGAACAGTCCTTTAAATGCTGTTTTGCTTGTTTTGTTTTGATCAATAATAAAATTTCTTTAACATGTTTTAAGGCTAAGACTTATTGCTTATATCTTTCTAATTCCAAGGGATATTATACTCATCTGTTCAGTATGGATGTGTAACAATAACAACATCAAAGCTTTTTATCAAAAATTATGGATAAACTACACGAATTCTATTCTTCCACTCCATTCTATTATGGACCGTTAAGTTAAATCATAATCATATCCTTCTTAATTGCTTTTAACCGAGTTTGTTTAGGTCTACCTATAGATCTCCTAGCCCCATTAACTATAAATACCTAAAACTGAACACAAAGAAAGTGGGCAAATAGCTTATGATATTTCTTGTGTCATAAAGTAATATATTGTTTAGGAGGAAAATAAAATTCAAGATCATATTCATATGTTCATCTTTCTTTGTAACTTTTTCCAGTAGTTGTGAGTTCAAGTTCAATTCTATCAAGAAATATGAATAGTCTGATCACATCAGAAAAATAACTATGAAATATTTACTTTCCAAAAATGGATATAATTGATTGTAAATAAACAAAATGATTTGTCATACAAAAAAAAAACAAAAACAAAATACAATTATACACAGTTACAGAGAGAGAGAGAGAAAAAAAACTACTCGACAGGCTCGCCAATATTTTCACTAGGTATAATCAACTGAATTTGCTTTCATATGAGTTCAGGACCAATACAATCAGAATATTCCCCCAGTAATCACAATGACAAATTATAACTACGTATACTGAACATCTAACACTCATGACATATTCAACTTCTACTCTGTTGTTTGTAAGTGAAGCTCTGAAGTGATAACAGCACTTGCTTCAATCTTTCTCTTGTTTCAGTATCAATTAGATTCCCATGGCTATCAAATTTTGCCGGTGGCTCATAAACTTTAACAAATAGTTCTGGCTTGTTGATGAAGTGAATGTCAAGATAAACCCCAACTTGACGAAGATGGTATTGAGATCTTCCCCCGCCGAAATTTCCTCCTGCACTGATAATGGCAGCAGGCTTGTTTGCCCAAAAGTTTGGTGGTCGAGATGCCCAATCAATTGCATTCTTTAGAGGACCTAAAAGTGGAAGAGATAATGTTGTTAATCTAGATTCATAGTGAAAATTCCTTGCTATGTGCACATAAGTTTCTAGAAGCAAAAGAACCTAACAGTCAGAGGTAAATTTCACAAAATGACAAAGAACTTTGGGCGGGTTTGCATGAAATTACCCTTAACTTCTTTTATTATAGAGACTGCAACTAAATACCACGAACTATTGAAAATTGTTGTGAATGGCGTTAACCCCTTGGATAAAAGGTCTAAACTATTGTTATGAGGAAAGGATAGTTTAGAGTAAATACAACGTGCACAAGGATAAAATTGTCCAAAACATTTTATGTGTGAAGCATGTGACAACGTATCCTTAAGGACCAAACCAGCCCCTAATTTCTATTCTCTATTCACTTACCGTTATGAGGAACGGATAGTTTGTTTATGTTTTCAACAAGTTTGTGCTTATGTGGAGTTGCTTGCATTTTGGCTCAGTAAGGAACTTACTTGCATATGGAGGGTTATTGTAAATAATTTCATTCCTGAAATTACCAAAACACTTTATTCTAGATGCACTGATTCTTCTGTTGTGGCACCATTATCATTAACAATATAAGGAAAGGATATTAGATGCTTTTATATTTTTTTCCTAAATGAAAAGAATGGATAAAAATTAGATATTGATTCACTATCTATACTATCAATTTGTATGATACTGGGATATCCAGAAAAGCATCCAAAAAAACCAGGAGACAGACGGAAAAATCAAAAAAGACTAGCTTCCACCCAAAAAAAAGGTAGCTAATTGAACTTAATAATTGTTAAATCTGCACATCACTGAAAAGAGTATATAAGAAGGTTTGAAGTTCTCATAATCCCTAGGTGTTATTGTCACCTTTCTATCAATTAGGAATGGATGAATAATTTTATTGGAGCCACATCTGGATTGTAATGAATTAATATATATGCAATTGGAATCCTTTTCATACATATCATTAATATAATCCAAATTTCCAGTAAATTTTGATTACTATATGGTTCACAATTGGACTGTGATGCTACAGTTTGAGGTACACATGAAGCCTTTGCCTACTCAAGTTCGGAGTAATGAGTATTTAAGGGCATAGGACCTGAAAATTTTAATACATAATGATTGTAAGAGTGTTTGTGTGTATGTGCATATTGTGGTCGAAGTTGATAATATTTTATCCATCCTTGTCAAATAGTTTGAATGGGGATAAGTAGTGGAAATTTCATGGTGCAGAATTCTAAACGAAGAACAAGCTATTCTATGTTACATCTAAAATTCCTAGAGACAACCACTCTTATTTCTCAACAATTTATCAGGGCTCAGCGTTCAAATTCATTTTGGATACACTCGTCTTCTTTCTTGATTGCCAATTTGGAACCATGAAATGCAGCTGACATATACTACCTTGTCTTAGTTCCCCTTCAACTTTCAAGGGCATTCTCCAGTCAGGATACTGGAAAAGCTAATCACTTCAACAAACGCGTGTGATCTCCTTAAACACTTCATTTACAATCACATCCTCATGACGAAGAATTGATTCTAACTAAAATAATTGGTATTTGCCAGTCACCACTAGTGAGCATGTGACTTTTACATGAAAACTTGATAATTGCTGAAACCACCAGAGAATTGTCACTTTTAGCCAAAAAAATTCCAACCAAAAAAAAAACCTTAAAACTTTGAAATTGCTGAATAGAAAATGTACATAGTCTCTGTCCAGTCACCTTTCAGTCTAAAAATGTGCAGTTGCAATTACCAGGTTTAGATTTCAATCTCTATCTGTCATCTTTATTAATAAGAAGCACACACACCCTTCATATATGTCAGCATGTTAAGATTTTCCAGAGGAATATAAAACATGTATAACATCAACTAACAAAGTAAAAGAAGGTATAGCAGATACAAAATGGTCAAGTGTCCATAGTGTAAGCTATGTATATCTTGTATCTCAATCATAAACAAATAAATTTGATGCCAAAGAAACTAAAATGAACAACTAAGGAAGACAATTGTGCTGGTCTTACCGGTAAGAGAATAATTGTACTCAGGTGAAGCAAAGAGAATACTATCAGCTTCAAAGATATTTTGACGGAAGGCTTCAACAGGAGGAGGATACCTTCCATTAACCTCTAGATCAGTGTTGAGAAAAGGAAGGGATGAGATGTCCACATATTCTATTTGCAATCCTCCAATAGACTCTTTAGACAGCTGAATTGCTTCAAAAAAAAAAAAAGAAATATAATGAAAGAAATTAAATCACACTTTGTAAACAAAGAGGAACCAGAAAGGAAATATACCTCCCGTTGCCCTTAACACCCCTCAACTCACTTAGTAGCAGCTAGCACCCGTAAAATGGCTTTTTTTAGAAGATTGAATTAGTAACACCCCTCTTCCTTGTGGATTGAAGGGGCTAAGTGCTAATAATTGAGTTGAGGAGGAAGGTATAGATGAGAGGAGTCACGTGCAATGTACCCTAAGAGTAACCAGAGAAAGGACGTCGTAGTTACCCGAGTGCAAAAGGGCACGATTGAATGAACCTTTGCGAAGTGAACCACAAATCGCTGCCACTTTGATTATAGGCTTGGTTCCCCAAACTACTCCTCCCATTATCTCTCTTCCCTTTTGCCCAAATACCAAATTCTCATATCCCCCTCCTTGAACAATAACCGAAGGATACAGGTGAACCGAATTTACCCCCGATTCATGATTATGTTTCCTTCGCTTTCTCCCTCCATTAGGTAACTTCTCACTGTACCGAACAGAATGAGCGTGCAAAGGGCTAACAGGATGATTATGCTCATTATCAACCTCTATCAAATGCAAAAGCCCATCGGCCCACAATTTCGCTATAATCTTAGCTCCGCAGTCTGTTTTTGCCGAAGGCCTACTTGGCTCATCAGGCGCTTTACCTCCCTTACAACAGGAAAGAACTAGACGGCGACATCTCCCATCTGCTCTCTTGTTCGAGTGCTTGATCATTACCCCAAACCCCTTTTGCTTTCCGTACTCCTTGTAGAATTGGTAAACTTCTTCATGGCTTTCGAACGCCATTCCTACTGAAGGTTCTTGACTGGGGGTTTCTCGATGGGGGTCTTCTTTATCTACGGCTCTCTCGTCGGCGTTGTACGTTATAATTGCTAGCTCCCCGCTCGACGTTTGCTCCATTATATGGGGGTTTATCAAAATTCTATCGAAAAATTTCCTAGTTGGCTCGGGTGGGCGTGTTCAGCCTCAGCTGTAGAACATTACACAGCTAACTAATTTCAGAAAGAAAAAAAATGCAAATTTACAAGACAATAAAACTGCAAAGAAAAAGGGGGGGAATTTTCCATGCTTGGTTCAGTGGGTTCCAAGATCAAATGGGTATACTTAGTTTCAGCTGTAGAACATTACACAGCTAGCCAATTTCAGATCAAAACGCGATTTAAATGGCTCTAAAAGTAGTGAAAGAGAAAACCCATTTCAAATCTTAACTGATATCCACGGTTGTTCAACAATCTCCTGCCAAGCAAATCTAGCATCTAAGTACACACAAAAAGACGGTAAATTTGCAAAAAAAAATTGAGGTATAAATGAAGAGCGAGAGAGAGCGAGCTTACCTTTGGTGGGCGCTAGCTGAGGACGGCCGGCGAGGGAAGACAGTGAGTGGGTAGGCAGAAGGGGATGAGGTTCACGTACCCACCCCCCACCTACCCGCCTATCCAACCCGGACGCGAGACTTTTGTGGCCCCACCTGTCAGTGACCGGGTGGAACGGTCGTTGGTTTTCTGAAAAGTGTGATTCACGCACCCGGGTTTTAAAGTTTATTCGGGCCATCCACTCTACGAGTGTGGGGCCGGTGCGATGGGGTTGAGATTTATTCCTGGATCTAAATTTGTTTTGGGTAGGTGGGGGCAACGTGGTTTTGGTTCATGAGTGGGGTTGGTGGGTGAGTGGGCGGAGGAGTGGAGGGCCCACTTGCATGTGAGGTTTTATTTTTGGGCGGGTTGATGGGGCGTGGGTGAGAAGTGGGCTGGTGTAGGTGTAGTTGGTGGGTGAGTGAGGGGAGAGGTGTTGGAGGGATTCGGATCCTCTGCTATCAAAAAAGTAGTGGAGGAACCATTACATAATCACAATCATTGATTATCTAGTTGTTGTCTGTTTGTTTGCACGGAAGTAATTGTGAAGTAGCTAAAGTAAAAGAAGTAGATACTACTTCTGCTACTTCCAAGCAAAAATGCGTGTTTGGTTCTCTGAAAAACTTACTTCCAATACTTTCCTAAATACTTATGTGGCGCTTACGTGTCATTCTTACTTCCAAAATATTTTTCCAATCCTCAATACTCAGAAGTAGCTCGGAAGTAGTTAAAATGCATATTGATTATGACATAAATAAATTTTTTATTAATATTTCCTTTATTAGTTACTTCTAACAACTTTTCATTGATAAAATTACTTCTTAATAATATTTTTAAATGTTATCCAAACAAAAAAAAGTAAATGAAGAGGAAGAAGTTCTACTTTCATTACTTCTAAAAATATATGAAACAAACAAAAAAAAATGTTATTTCCACTACTTCCTACTTCATAGCTTTGAAAGGTACTTCTATAACCTACTTCTTACTTCTAATACTTCCATTATCCAAACGTACAAATTAGGAATGAGTGGGGGGTATGGTAAGTATTGTATTTAGATTGTATCATAACCGCCTATTAAGTAATCGACGATTGAGATTAAAAGTAATGGTCTCTCTACTACTTTTTTATAGTGGAGAGAGTCCAAATTTAAGAGCCTCAATATGTTTGGAAATCCTTTCTTTTTTTTTATTGAAATGATGATATAGTTGGAAATCTCTCCGGACTGGCCAAAAGAAAAACACGGTGGAAATTCATTACTTACGATTTTGCACTTCTGTAAAAAATAGTTATTATGTATAAGAATATTATATGATTTGGCTCAGAACATCCTTCATGTGAGTGGAGACCTCAACAACAAGAGAGTAGCTAAAAATGTCTAAACTGTCCCCTGTTTGGTTTATTACTGGTCCCCATATCGTGAGTTCTGAGGTCATTTGCACTTGATAAGAATTTTAGAAAGTGGGGGAAAAAAAAGTTTGTCAACCAATTGCGCTATGCTTTTACGTAAACCTAGGCTTGGGTCTACAAGTTTATAACTAATGCAAGAAACGCAAGGTTTATGTACAAAATGCAATCCTTGCAAAATTCCACAACAATAAAAGCTACATTCTTAAACAAGCAGCAAGAATATTTTATTTTTCCCCTTTCAATAATAACCAGAAAATTCAGTACAATACAATTACAACATGACGGTAACAGATGATCACATTACACACGCATCACATTAATGATAGTACACATTCATTACGGATTTGGATCCTCTCCACTACAAAAAAGTAGTGGAGAGATCACTGCTTTTAATCTCAATCGTTGATTATTTAGTAGGCGGTTATGATACAATCTAAATCTAACACTTATCATACCCCCGTGTATTGCACTCATTCCTAATTTGCACTAAAAGAAAAAATCACAACCATTAACTAGATAATCAATGGCCGTGATTATGTAGTGGTCTCTCCACTATTTTTTTGTAGTGGAGAGGATCCGAATCCATTCATTACTACTTACTCTGAAGCCTGTGGGTAAAAGCCTGCAAGGATAACAGGACTTGCTTCAATCTTTCTTTGGTTTCAGGATCAATCAAGTTTCCGTCGCTGTCGAATTTCTGTGGAGGCTCGAATGCTCTCACAAACAACTCTGGCTTATTGATGAAGTGAAGGTCGAGATAAACACCGACCTGGCGAAGATGGTACTGGGATCTCCCTCCTCCGAAGTTACCTCCTGCGCTCACGATAGCAGCAGGCTTGTCGGCCCAAACATTTGGTGCTCGAGATGCCCAATCGATAGCATTCTTCAGAGGGCCTGGGAAAAAGAGAACATGAGGATCAATACATTTATCTTACTTGATACCTTGCAGATAAACTATTGACTCTGTATCCTATAGCTCGCAGAAAATGTTAACCGTAAATGTAAACACACACTAGTGGTTACACATACGATAAGCGGGAGTCAGAATTATTGTGGTGTTGCACGCATATCAATTTTACAAATGCTATTCAAAATGAACACACACCAAGATCGTTTTCCCATTGGAAGGAAACAAATATTTATATATAACTATTTTCAAGATAAACCATCTCAACAATAAATCAGGCCTGTATGAATGATAGCAAGAAATCTAGGAAGGCATGATAAAATAACTGCTTCCAATGGAGAGAGGTTGAGAATTACTGGTACATCTCTGCAATCCGTGGCAACTACTTCATTATAATAGTGTATGTGCATGTGCATGCGCGTGTGTATGTATATTTGTATATGTGTGTGTCTACGCACACACGCACACGTGTGCATGCGCGTGTGCACACACAAAATGGATACTGGATATGAATTGTCATTACATTTAGCAAAATGAACAAACAAAGATGAACATGAGACGAACCCAACGATATCCATTTTCACTCAAATTGGATGAGCCATGCGCCTAGAGATACTATGCTTCATTCGTCATCCACTTTCAAAAACACACTACACTTGCACCATACTCCGTATCCAGGAAATAACCTGCAGAATCACCAACCTAAGCACTCATGACCATAGCACTGGTCTCGCAGAAGGTAACAACGCGCCATACTCCATCAATATCAAAAACACCAGGGACTTCGACGTAACATTCTAGCTTTCTGCACCAGATATTGATGATCACTATATTACAGCGCCATCATTTCTCCAAACACCATGATCAATTCCAGAGACAAACTCGACGACTATATAAAGTCAAGTGCGACACCATGTATAGAAGCTATCGGACAATGAATAATATATGATCTGTATAAGTCTACAATCAGCATCCATTGCCAACATCTGCTCAAACTCAACCACTAAATCGTTTCCCTGCTCACCATCAATCCACATTAAATTCCATCAAACTTGTTCCAAATAGTAAAAATATATCCAATTTGTATCCAACATTATGTCCAACAAGACAGCTCTGACATCCACTACTTCACGGTGCGTGAGAGGGTCTCATCTTTATTACATAGAGTTTTATGGTGTTTACTTGGTCAACAAAGCACATGGTAAAAAGAAAGAGGTCGTTGGAGTGCAAGTTGAATCCTACACTTGAAGTAGGACGACAGTGGGGGATTGACATGCAATAGATGTAAATATTAATTAGATAGCCTTTTGCCTTGACATGTCATTAGTACATTATCGGTTCCATACTAAGGTAACTCCAAGAGCAGACCATCATTGCAAGAAAGGTCACGATTATCCCGTGATGATGATTGTACAAAAATGTCACAATGGTTGATTTAACGGGTAATTTCTCACCTAACTCCTTGCCTAAGAGTAGCCTATAACTTGATGGATGTCACAGTTGCTTTATGTTATGCGTTTGGCACATGAATGGTGCAGCCTCAAAGCTAAAATATGGAATTTTTGACTCTAGATGACTTGGTGGTCACAATAACTTCTTCATATAGTAATTAACAAAAAAATACACAATACTAAGAGTCAACTCCAAAGCGTGATCATATGGCTACGACTCTTATAAAGAGTGCACTTAGAAGGTTCCGAGGTTTGCTGCTGCGTGAGTTCAGCTTTCTACCAATAAATAAGAACACTCAGCTTGCGAGGATACGTGAGGGTGTAAAAATTATAGTCTTCAGTGTAGAAACGGCGAAAACGGCAACGAAGTTCAGGAAAAACGAAGCAGGAAACAGTCTGGGTGCTGTCCGGTCGACCGCGGCAATATGTGCGGTCGACCAGAAACATGCACACTACAGGGTGCACACTACGGCGTCAAGTGCGGCCGACCGCGGACCCTGTAATCGATTTTTAGTTTCTGTCTTTCTGGTCGGTCGACCGCGACGATTTCGGCGGTCGACCGCCAGTCGGGGTTGGGCCTGATTGCGGTTTGGGTTTGTTTTGTGCACAGAAAAGAGAGTTTTCTGAGCAATTTGGTTAGGGTTTTGTTTGAGAGATTTGAGAGGTTTGTTTGAGAGATTTTGAGTGAATTTGTAATCTCATTCTCTATTAATGAAAACTCATCTCCTTCTTGCCCCGTGGACGTAGGCAACTTACCGAACCACGTAAAATTCGTTTGTTTGTGTTCGTGACGTTATTTTGATTGTGTTTGGCCTTCTCTCTTAGCGTTTGTGTTTGCCCTCGGAACCCCAATAAGTGGTATCAGAGCACCAGACTACGCTTAGGATTAGGAAGAGGAGTAGATCGCTTTGGAAGCTCGTCTAGGGCTTCAGTTGGAGGCAAATGTGAGATTTTTATTATTGTGGATCTTGTCTTCCGTCGTGTGAGGGTGAGATCTTTTGGAGGCTCTTATTAGGGTTTCAGTTGAAGGTAAAAATCTACTTTTCTTGTAGTTTGGATCTATCTTTTAGTTTGTTTCGCATTGGTTTGTTGGTGTTTTGAGGAAGATGGCTGAAAAAGGAGGTGTTGAGAGTGGTTCTTTTGGCATGAAGACCGTTCAAAGTTTGAATATCCACTCCATGAAGATAGATATGAAAAAGTTTAATGGCACGAACAACTTTGGATTATGAAGATGTGAAGTTTTGGATGCGCTGAACGCGCAAATTTTGGAAAATACTTTGGAGTTGGACGACAAGCCGGACGACATTGAAGAAAATATTTGGAAGAAGATGAATCGGACGACGTATGGTGTCATTAGGTCTTGTTTAACGCAAGATCTAAAGTATGATGTAATCAATGAAACTTCGGCAAAGAAGATTTGGGAGATTCTTGAGAGCAAGTATTTGATAAAGAATGTGAAAAATCGTTTGCATTTGGAAAGAAGGTTTTACCGCTTCCAGTTGAAGAAGAGAATCTCGATTAGCGATCACATGAACAACTACACGAATCTTCTTGTGGATTTGGCGAATGTGGATGTTATAATCGAGGATGAGGACAATGCGTTGTTGTTGTTGAGCTCCTTGTCAGACGAGGAATATAAGACATTTGTTCTTACCCTAATTAATGGAAAGACATCTCTTTCGTATAGTGAGGTCACCGCTGCACTTGTGAACTATCAGCTTAGAAAGAAAGATAATAAGTCTTCGATTGATACAGTAACGGATGCATTGGTCGCAAGAGGGAAGAGTCCAAACCAAAATAGGAGATCATAGTCTAGAGGAGCACATCCTTCAGTTGGTAGGAATCAAGCATTTTACAAAGAAGATGGACATTAAAAGTCTGAATGCCCAAAGTTAAAAGATCAAGCCGGGAATAAGAAGGGGAAAGTTATACAAGCTTCAGAGGTGAATGTTGCCAAGGCTAGTGGCGATAATTCAGATTCGGATTCTTCGGGCTACTCATGTCTACACTACCGTTAGTTTGTGATGCTGACTCTACAAAGTGGATGTTAGATTCGGGTGCTTCATGCCACATTTGCCCTATGAGGGATTTGTTCTTCAGTTTTGAGGAGTTAGAAAGAAGGGATGTCGTGCTCATGAGTAATGATCATGAATGCCCTATTGGTGGTATTGGAGCAGTTCGGATCAGAATGTGTGACAGAGTGACTAGGGAGTTGAATGAAGTGAGGTTCGTTCCGCAGTTGTCGAAGAACATCATTTTACTTGGAGTTTTGGAGGCAGCAGACTATAGGGTGATCTTAGAGGATACATCTCTGAAGGTCACAATGAGGTCCATGATTGTAATGAAGGGTGTCAGAAAGAATAATTTGTACTATTTGATTGGGAACACGGTGATAGGTGGAGCGCTGACGACTTCTATTGATTCAGCTAGATTGTGACATTTGAGGAGGCTGGGACATTCGAGTGCTAATTCCGTGCATGGATTAGAAAGAGGTGCTTTGACCTGTAATTTGAAGTCCTGTGAACATATTGGTGTGAGCAAGAAGACCGATGTGAAGTTTAGCACTTCTATTCACCGAGCGAAGGGCCTTCTAGATGATGTTCACGTAGGCATTTAGGGGCCTTCCAAGAAGACATAATTGGGAGGTAATAGGTATTTGATTTTCTGTATTGAAGACTATTCTAGGTATTTGTGGGTTGCAACCAAGTCCCATTTTAGTAAAGTCCTAATAGTCAACAACTGGTGGAAGAAGTGTATAAGCAAAAAGGTAAATTTACTTAGTTCTGATTTTGATAGGAAGTACAAGAGGGATCCTTTTCTGCATTTGTGCCTAGCTCAAGGCAGTTTGAGACACTTTATTGGAAAGAAAACATTAGAACAACGAGATGAGATAGCAAATTTAATAGGCTATTCCTTGCGGGAGAAGGATCAGTGTTTGATGTCAAGTAGTGGTTTGCAGAGGAGCTTTGGTGTTGAGGCTTTGACATATTTGAGCCATCTTATTTACAGGTTGTCGTCTGTCGCGATTGGAGTATTTGGATCTGGTGGATCTGCTTAAGATTTTAGGTTGCTTCGGATATTTGGATGCCTAACATATTGTCCCATCGAGGATGTGAAATTTGATCTGAGTGCACATTTGAGATTCAGAGACGTGTTTAGTTATTAGTTATGGGATTCTAATATTGTTCTGAGCAGTATTGTCACATTTGACTCTCAGCAAGTAGAGTGTTGGATAGATTATTGGGATATCACAGCGGGTGGAGAGTGATGCTACTCCACGTTGGGTAAAGATTACTCCACGTACTCTAGATTATTTTGTATTGTTTGAGATTCCAGCTGAGGTGACACAGATTGGGGATCATGTTGGTGTTGATGCAGATGATGAGTTTATTGATTCGAGTGCAGCTGATGAACACAGTTTGGAAGAGAGTTTGTCTTTTCACTTTAAGGCCAACAGGAGCGTTATCAGCTGCAGATTGATTGGTGATGATCGTGAAGGTTTAAAAATCCTTCTAGTTGATTGAGGTCGTTTGAGGCCATTTGGATGAACAACGTGTGGCTTGATTCCTTGGGCAAGAGGATACGTAGGTAGTCATTTTAATGCAGTCAGTTTGATGAGTTGATACCAACATTTTGGAGTTTGTTCGCATTTTCGTTTGGGTTCTCGACTTATTGTGGATTGAGTCAGTTGTCGTGGGTTATTTCCACTTCGTACTGGACGTAACAAATGGGATGTTTGGTTGGTATTGGTGTCGGTTCGGTTTTGGGAAAACTTCGTCGAGGTGGAGAATAGTAGAAACAACGAAAACGGTGACAAAGTTTAGGAAAAACGAAGCAGGAAGCAGTCTGGGTGTTGTCCGGTCGACTGCGGCAATATGTGTGGTCGACCGAAAACATGCACACTACAGGGTGCATTTTCGGATTTCTGGTCGGTCGACCGCGGCGTCAAGTAGGGTCCAACTATTCACACTCCCAAACAGTAACTTTGGGGGGGTGTGAGGACTAAATTGCCCTTCTCCCAAACCAAAACAGGCCAAGTCCATTCCAGAAACACCCTCAACATCAAAAGGGCATTTTCGGCAATCCAACTCCTAAAATTACTGTTTGGGAGTGGATATAGCAAACATGCACATCAAAAGGGCATTTTCGGCAATCCAACTCCTAAAATTACTGTTTGGGAGTGGATATAGCAAACATGCGTCAAGTACGGTCGACCGCGAACCCTGTAATCGATTTTTAGTTTCTGTCTTTCTAGTCGGTTGACCGTGATGATTTCGACGGTCGACCGCCAGTCGGGTTTGGGTCTGATTGCGGTTTCCTGTTCTGATTGAGAATTTTGTGTTTGGTATAAATACAAACACGATTTTAGGGTTTTTTGGGAGTTGAAAAAAGGGTTTGTTTTGTGCACAGAAAAGAGTGTTTTCTGAGCAATTTGGTTAGGGTTTTGTTTGAGATATTTAAGAGGTTTGTTTGAGAGATTTTGAGTGAATTTGTAATCTTTATTTGTACTCCCCTTCTCTATTAGTGAAAACTCATCCCATTCTTGCCCCGTGGAGGTAGGCAACTTGTCGAACCACGTAAAATTCGTTTGTTTGTGTTCGTACCGTTATTTTGATTGTGTTTGGTCTTCTCTCTCAGCGTTTGTGTTTGCCCTCGGAGCCCCAACATTCAGCCCTCGTCGCAACTTAATAATCAATTTCACTTTCCAAAGTTTTCAGTTGTGGAGTAAATTGAGCATCAACCTCCGAACAACAATGACCAATTCTCACAAAACACTGTATCAAGAAATGGATATCAAAGTTGATCGCCACTAAGCTCACCGGTCAAAGAGTAATTGTACTCCGGCGACGCAAACAGGACGCTGTCAGCATCAAGAATCTTCTTCCTAAAACCCTCCACGGGCTCAGGAAACCCGCCATCAACCTCCAAGTCCGTGTTCAGAAATGGGAGCGGCGAGATATCGACATATTCAATCTGCATCC